CCGATGCCTTACCTCAAGATTACTCACCCTATTATGCCATCACCTAACACGGGAGATAGAATGCAGGCACCTTTGATCAAAGACAGTGAGTGGGTCAGCCTTTTCATGTCTTCCACTGTCAATGGCCAGGTCTCACTAACAGCTATAAAGGAGGATGGAGTGGACTGCTGAGCAGAACACACGTCCTTTGGTCGATAACCAGCCGGATATCACGTCTACTAAGCCAGAGATGGCGTAAACTGGCATATACGAAACTAGCCTTCTGTATCCGTGCTGAGAATTTTTCGTCAGCTTTCAACCCACTGATGTTGGCTGATGCAATTCCCCCACCACAACACTCTCCACCAACCACTTCACTCCTTCCTATCTCTTTAAACTAGGAGTGAGTCGATATAGCCCAGAAAAAATTATCATCAAAACAAAAAGTTGACAATATATACTCTACTCAAAGGAATTATAAAAATGGCTACTTTGATACTTTTTGTTTTTGTTTCTGTTGTTTCAAAAAGTAAGCGAGAAATTCTCTTCTCTTCACCACCTTAAACATTAGTTACATTGAATGAGAATAAGTCATGTGTTATTATTATTATTCTACAATGTAACAAAATAATTTTTCATACGATAAGGCGAAAGAAAGAAAACGAACAAAACAACCAAAGTCACGTGACTAGAATTCATCGAAAGCAACAAATAATTCTACTCAGCATATATATAAACAAATAAATAAATCTATGCATGAATAGTGAGTGAGTAAGTGAGTGCCAAAATAAAAATGTATGCTCAACTTTAAAAAAAGTTTACGTAGAAAAGAGAATGTGACGTCGAAAATGAATCTAAAAGGAATTTATTAAATATTCCCATAGTAAAATTTAGAACAAAACATTTAAGCGAACAATATTGTAGTTTTCAATTAGATCTCATCAGGCTTAACTCTAATATATATAAGTTTACAAATAAAAATTCAAATATAAACCAATCATGGTGTTTTGTCTATTGGATAATAAGATGGTGAATATAAATTGTGCAATTAGTCATAATAATAATAATAGTAATAATAAAAATGGTCTTATCACCATTAGGCCCAATATTAGCTGACTTCTTTCTCGCAAAACTTGAAAACGGGAAATTGAAGGACATCATCAAGGAGTTTGATGTGTATTACCGATATGTCGATGATACATTTATCTTAGCTGATGGGAATGTTAACACATAGACGAATTGTTGCTGTAATTCAACAACATCCACCCCTCGCTTACCTTTACTTGTGAAGAGGAGCAGGAGAATAAACTACATTTCCTGGATGTCTTGTTAAGTAGGAGAGAAGATGGGTCACTTGGGAGAAGCGTGTATAGAAAAAGCACATTCACAGGGCAACACACACTTCCTTAGTTACGTGTTGTAAAATGTCTTGTGAGCAGAGCAAGAAAGATATGTACGGATGACCTCTTACAAAAGGAATTTGAATATATTCACGATTCCTTGACGGAGATGGGCTATCCGAGTAGCTTCATAAAGAAACATATGAAAATATTGGAGAAAAAACCGGAGACTCTGACTGCACGTAAGAAACCTCTATTTATTAAGTTACAATTTAATGGTGACTTATCAAGTGAGATTCTATTCCAAAGACTTTCCAGGAGTATACGAAGAACATTTTACGCAGCACACCTATGTTTGTCATTCTCTAGTCGACGAATGATTGGGACGCAAACGAAGGATAAGCTAGATAATTTTGTCACATCTATGTGCATTTATGAATTCAACTGCACCTGAGGTGACAGTTACATTGGGCGTACTACTACACAGCTTAGTCAACGTGTTAGTGAACATCTCCCATTGTGATGGTTTGGTAAAGGATAGACAAAAACAATTCGTAGCTCAATCTTGTCACACTTAATTGATAGTGGTCAGGTTATCGAGAAAACGAGAGCCTTCAAAGTAATTCATCGTATCCCACCGAATCTTTCCAATAGACTTCGTATTCGTTTACTGCACACAGCTGAGGCAGGCGATAGGCATTCGAACTATTAAACCTAAACTATGCATTCAAAAAAGGAAGTTCGTACAGCCATTATCCCTCCCTGGGCTTATTTTAAGACCTAACCAACTAATGACCTCTACACCACCCTTTGTTTATATTTTCAACCCCTTTCTTATCTTCCCTTAATCTTATCTTCATTATAAACGTGTTTCAGTTCCTTCCCTTACAATCTAATGTTACTTAATCGGCTCATTTTTTTCTTAGCCTTTATCGACTACTTCCACCTGAACAGTTGTTTGTTTAATCATGCTGTTTTTTTCATTATTCGTGTTATCACAGATTGCCTCACTTTTTCATCCTTATTATTGATAAATCCACTTTATTATTATTATTACTATTATGACTAATTGCACAATTTATATTCGCCATCTTATTATCGTATAGACAAAACACCATGATTGGTTTATATTTGAATTTTATTTGTAAACTCATGTAGGCATATTAGAGTTAAGCCTGATGAAATTGTTCCCTGAAATGTGTTTTTCTAAAAGGAATATGCCTGGAAAATTATAAAGAGAGTGTGAGTGTATCTATCTGAGCTCCTCTATTGAGAGCGACTGTAAGTGAGTCACCGTCATGCACTAAGTAGAGTAATAACTACACGATTCTTAATGTCTCGAGGACTCCATGCCAGGTAGGTGGTCTACACCTGCATGCTTGGCTCACATAATCAACCTTGTAAAACACATCACTGCTCTCTGGGTTGGATCACTCACTATCACTACCTTTCTATCAGTGAACAGTGTTCATTGCGAAAGATAATGAATACAGAAAGATTGAGCGAAGAAATATTTACTATTCAATTAGATCCTCATCTCACTCTGGCTCTACTCTAATATATATATATAGCATTTTTATTAGAATACACAACAGTTTACCAATCAGGTGGCACTGATATGTTTGTTAACAATAATTAGTCAGTGTCCAAATGTCAATGGGTTGATAATTAACGAAGAAAATCAATACACACAATTAAAAGGTGGAAATGGTTAGAATAAATTAATTTTACAAGGATAACACGTAATTAACGATGAAGTGGTCAAAATAAATAAAAATGAAATAAAATAATTTGGACAATTATAGTTTTTAAAGGTTTAGGGAGAGGGGGGCGACGTAGTCCTGTTTATGTATTCTTGTAACGATGGCCACGGTAAGGAAAGTGGTTGTACAAATTTCTTCTGAACACATAGGCTTGGCTTCTTCAGGTGGATTTCGATTGCTTCAGCTGTCTGTAGAAGACGAACTCGTAGAGCAAAGTTAAGATTAGTCGGAATGCGATGAATAATTTAAATGCAGTATTAACATCAACCTTATGCTCAGTATCAACAAAGTGTGCCACAATAGAGCTACGAATAGATCTTGTTTGTCCCTTGCTTAATCATGTTGGATGATGTTAGGAAATACGACGATGAACCTGTCTAATTGTACGCCCAATGTAGCTGGCTCCGCAGCTGCAGTCAAACTGGTAGACACACATAGAGGAGGAGGCAAATTTCGGTAGTTTATCCTTATTTCTCGAAAATAGAATAGGGGTGGTTTTGAAGAGACAACGTACCTCTGCTACATAATAAGCTCTTTTAACTGCATTCTTCAAGCGTTCTGTTATTATTTCGCTGATGTTATCACCGAGGAACTGCAATTTTATGAACATTGGTTTTGTCGGAACTGTAGCCATACTGACTCTCCTTGGTGCTGAATTCATATTCTTCTCAGTAAATTTATCTGGATAACCATTTTTTCTAAGTAATTCTCTAATAAATAGCTTGGCTATTTTGATAATGAATCGCTTGCTGACGAACAACTGGTGGTCGTATACAGAAAGTTACCTGGGGTCCACTGAGACAGGCAACAGGAGAGAGTTACTCACCCGTGACCATTGTCTGGCGGTTGCGCTAAATATTTATATTTCTAATTTTATCTGTCAATGAATAAATAAATGAATAATCTATAAAACAATTAGTTCCCTTTATGAATTTAGATAAAGTAAGGTGCCTCTTCAGTAGAATCCAACGAATATGCACTGAAGCAGACACACTTGATGAAGAAAGAAAGTTGACACAAACTCTGGCTGATAACAATTATCCAGATAAGTTCATCAGGAGATATAAAGTAGTCAGTGGAACACCAAGATCCACTCTCTCCAACTCGCCCCTAAGAAAGATGTGTACATCAAGCTACCCTATATGGAGCATCAAAGCAGCTTGATAACTAGACAAAGATTGAACGCTGCTGTCAAAAAAACTTTTTATGCAGCCAATATCATAATAATAGAGAATGTAAAGCATATATATCTATGTAAGCCCTTCGAACATGCGAAAAATGACGTCACATCCCACTGTATTTACTAATTTGAATGTACATGTGGACACACATACATAGGGAGGACTCATCTATCTCTGCAAGTAGGGGCTGGTTTCAGAAACAAATGGAATCTTCAGAACCAATTAACGGTGAGAACAGAAGACCTAGCTCCTCTATTGCGAAACCTATTTTAGAGACAGGACATAAAATTGACGTTAACAGATCTTTGAAACCTAAATATAAAACTTATTCGGGGCGTGTCCTGAAGCTTGTGGAAGCCCTAGCAATTCGAAAGTTTATGCCACCTTTATGTGTTCAAAAACGATTTGTCATCACATTAAACCCTTTTTGGTAAACTTTGTTTTGATACCAGTCAGGGTAGATGTACTATTACCTCTGCTGTTTGGTTTAGTGGTCTTCGTTGTTATTTTGACTTTGAATATGTCCTTTTAACTTTACCTAAGAAGTCTGTTTTCTCACTTCTTAAATCTTTATTAATTTGATGTATATACAATCTTATGACAAGTCCGTGTGGGAGTGATCAGATTGTTCGAAATGTGTGTTGCGCAAATACTACATTACGCAATTCAGACAAATTACTTCTTCCTTCTTATTGCTTTATCTAAATAATCTATAATTCCTTTTCTTGTCTTTGTAGATCTACACACCAGTGTATGCTCAAACAGTTTCTCAATACCAGTTGTTGATGTTGGCAATTCATCAAATCCAAATGAAAATCTACATCCGAATAAACAAAATGATGAAGGCAATAAACTACAAGTATTATTCAAACCAATGAGAAAACAACGTCGACTACGATCGATCAGCGGGAGTCATAGTGCCAATGGACCAATGACTAAACAGTATTCACCAGCATTTCCTAGTAGTACTGATCAAACACCAACAATAATTAGTCATTGTAAACATCAATCCTTATTGAATTCTTCAGATCTGCTTGTCTCTTGTCCTACTCAGCATTCTTCATCACCAGTAGGCGGTGGTACAAGTACAATTGTTAATTCACAAAAACACTGTACTACTACTACTGTGGATAATTGTCGTCGACGTACTCTAAGCACTGGTAACGATCCTAGAGCATTGAATGTTGATATTGACGATGCTGGTGATGTTGAAGTACACAAGCAGCAGAATGCTTTTGAAGACGGCAATAATAATACAATAGGGAATAATATTAGTAATAATAATAAATGTCCAAGTTGTGGATATATTAATGTAAATGTAGAAGGAATGAAAATGAAAGAACGTGAATGGATTAGTGGTATACATGCATTGAGTTGTTCAAAAACTGATTCTGTCTATTGTCCAGTTGATAAGTGTACATATGTTTGTTCTGGTCGAGCGGATTTATCGGCTCATTTAACAAGTGTTCATTTTCCTGAAAGTAAGTTTATTCTCAAATAGGGTTATTATTTATTATTATTCCTTTTGGGTTCCTATTGGGGGAACATAGGGTTTCTATAGCCCGTCTCGACTTTATCCTGTTTTCTGTAGTCTTTTTTAACTGGCTCCACTATTGCCCATAAGCTTTCATCTCCTTTATTTGATCATATTTGGATGGCCAACTCGTCACTTCCCATTTGGGTTCGATTGGACAGTCTGTCTGGTGTGGAATTTCTCACTCAATGGTCTCTTCACCATATGTCCCATCCATTTCCATTCCCTTTGGGTTCTTCGTTGATTTGTCGCCAGAGTTCATCATCGTTAATCTTTTCTGATTGATTTCAGAACGTCTGTTTGTATCGATTAGCTAGTTTTTTAGGCGGCTAAGTAGTGAAGTTCAAATACGCCCTGCCAATGATCGGTCATACAAGTAGGAGACCTAGATCTGTCTGTTTTCGACATAGAACTTTGCACAGATGTGCATCATTTAAAGTGTGTGTGTGTGTAGATTCAACATAGAACTTGGCACCGAAGTGCAGCAGTTCAAGTTGCCATCTTCCAAATAGCACACAAAAGTAGACAAGAAAATGAGTGAGGAGAATCAATAGAGTTTTGACAAGTATAAGAGTGAAACAGAATGACTAATGGTAGAAAGGAATATGAAAGATTACAGAGATTGAATACATCTGCGCTAGCCATTGACAACGATTTTGAGCCATGTCACCTATTGTCTCCAGCCATTGATTCTTAGAGTCCCGAGGGCCCCAACCAGTCAGGAAGTCTTCATCTCCCTACCTGACTCAGTTTAACTGTCAACGATTTCATGGATTGATGAGGCCATGTTTTTGTTTGGCCAGCACTTACTCTTTTCCAACCCACAACACCTATATCAGCTAGTAATGCCCGTCGGGGAGCATTTAAAGTCGCCACACTCCATCCTTGTAGCGCACAAAACAAGAGAAGAAAGTAGAAGAAATGCAAAATAGAGACAGTAGACAGGGATATGAGACAAAAGGAATAGCAATATCGAAGAACAATATAGTTTCATTGGATAGTATTATAAATCACAAGGAGTGGATGCATCTGAGCTAGCCAGCCATTGAGAATCATTTTAAGCCATATCACCGTTTGTTTGCAGCCCTCATTGGTGTTTACCGTCCCGAGGACCCCGATCAGTCAGGAAGTTTACACCTTCCTACATGACTGGTTGGGTGGCTTAAACTAACTGTTGTTGATTTTATTGACTGATGAAGCCACTAGCTGTTTTCCAGTCTGACCCTATGTCAGCTAGCATTGACTGTCGGTCGAGGAAGGTGATGGCTAGGGATGTATGCTTAACACATGTCCTGACCATCTCAGTCGATGTAGCTTCACAGCCTCGTCTACTGATTTCCCTTCCTTTCGTAGCACTCACTCGACGCATAACCTCGATATACTACCTAACACAGGAGATAGAACGCAGGCATCTATGATCAAAGACAGCTAGCTAACCAGCTTTTCATGTCTTTCATTTTCAATGGCCATGTTTTACTCACAGCCAGAAAAGAGGACGTAGGAGACACCTAGGTTCAGGATTTCATGTCGATTGCCTTCAACTACCTAACATGAATTCATAGAAAGTTCCAAAATGGCTAACTACTTCATGAATAAGATGACTGATAGAATTCAGTCGGTACTCTGACTGTAAGGACTAAATGCTCGTCATTGATTATTTACTCAAGGTTTAATTAGAATGCAACTGTAACGTTAGAAAACAAGGGCCAGGCAACAGATCGTTTATTGAGAAAATCAACAGATATTTATAGATTTTTATGTACATTATTGTTAGCGGAGAAGCAAAGTCTTCTGATTGGTTGTTTCCTTGCTGGAAGTTATACTGTACTGCTTGTGACTGTTTCTTAGAAAGTTAAGCCATATATTTGCGAATCGTATTTGCACACGTCAAGTCTGCAGTGATTGGTTGTTGAGTTCCTCAAGGTTAAGCTTTGTTATTGTGTTTTTTTTTTCTCATGACCCTGATTCAGAACGTAAACATTGACGTAAATTGTTGTCTACAATTTTCGGTTAGCAGACAGCTCTCACCACAATACTATTGTAACGACAGAAGACAAGGGCCAAGCAACAGATCGTTTATTAAGGAAAATCAACACATATTTATAGATTTTAATGTATATTATTGTAGATTATTGTTAGTAGAAAATACAGTCTTTTGATTGGTGGTTGTTTCTCACAGAAAGTTGACCTTGCATCTCTTTGTGGCTGGCTGTGTTAGATCATCCATATGCTAACTGTATCTGCCTACGCAAAGCCTTTGTTCTCATTTTCTCACCACCAATATTGGGGACATAAACATTGACGTCAATTACTGTCTACCAACTTTGGCTAGCGGCCAGCTCTCACCACAATACTATTACTTTTTTCTGCTCTCTTTTATTTTCGTTTTTTTAGTTCAACATCAACTTGTCCGCTTAATTTTTGCCTGTCCACTAAAAGATTGTCAAACTATCTGTCCTGATGAAGCCTCGTTTCAAGCTCATTTCATTGGCCATTTACGTGGACATCTTCCTGGTGATTTGACTGAATTATTCAATCCATATTCGCTGACTCAATCAGTGACTACAGTATCAGTGTCAGGTGGAACAATGGCGCCAACAATAGTAGACACACCGCCCACGTTATCAACAATTCCAGCAACAACAACAACACCAACAACCACACCAATCGTAGTCAACTCGACTCCTGTTGTTGTACAACCGATAATGGATAATCCTCCTGAGATATCGCATTCATCATCAAGTATAGCGTATAATAATAATCCATCATCTAATCTTCTAACAGATTATTCTTCTCATTTATCAACTATTCACCAAAATAATAATAATGATAATATACTATCTGGATCTTCAACAAATGATAATTTCCATGTTGAAATAATGGATGTTCAGTCTAGTGGTCTAGTGGTTGGAGATCAATGTCCTAGTAGAATTAATCCTCATTCAGACATAGTCCAACCATCATCAATTGACAACAATCAACCGATTGTTGTTGTTGCTGCTGCTGCTGCCGGTGATGTTTCCAATTCATCTAGTTGTTTCAACCACTACGACATTCACCATCAACAACACCACGAACAACAACAGCAGCAATTCAATGGACTACCGAATTCACCATCATTATTCTCCAATGATGATGACGCTTCCATAACCACATTGTCTGAAGCGTTTAAGCCAGACTCGCATACTGTTGTTGGTGATGATAATGTTGTAGTATCAAATAATGAAACAGGTAAATTCTTCTTAAAACAGAACAAATTCTTTAAAATTATATTTTTATCGAATAATTTTGTAAATTTGCTTTTGATTCAAGGGCCTACTTGGTGTGTGTGTAATGTCATTTGAAGGCATCCTCAGCCCCAATGGGTTGATCATAGACGAAATATGAACACGGATACAGAAGGCTAGTTTCGTATATGCTGGTTTACGCCATCTCTGGTGTAGTCGTGATATCTGGCTGGTTATCGACCAAAGGGCGTGTGTACTGCTCAGCAGTCCACTCCATCCTGGTTTATGGCTGTGAGACCTGGCCATTCACAGTGGAAGACATGAAAAGACTGACCCACTGTCTTTGATCAAAGGCGCCTGCATTCTATCTCCCGTGTTATAAGTGATGGCATAATAGGGTGAGCAATCTTGAGGTAAGGCATCGGTCGAGTGCTAGGTAAGGAGGGGAAATCAGTCGACCAGGCTGTGAAGCTACATCGACTGAGATGGTTAGGACATGTGTTACGCATGCCTGCTTAGCCATCGCCTTCCTTGACCGAAGGGTATTGTTAGCTGACATAGGCTGGAAAACAGCTAGCACGTGGTGGTTAAACGAAAACATGGCACCAGTCAATTAAATCCATAAAAGTTAGTATAAACCAGCCAGTCACGTAGGGAAGAAGGTGTAGACTTCCTAACTTCCTGGTTGGGCTCCTCGGGGCGGTAAAAACCATTGGAGGCTGGAGACAATCAGTGATATGACTCAAACTCATCGTTCTCAATGGCTGGCTAGCGCAGATGCATTCACTCCTTGTGACTTATAATACCCAATGAAACTATATTGTTCTTCGTTATTACTATTCCTTTTGTCTCATATCCCTGCAAAACAGAGTCTCTGTTTTGCATTTCTTCTATTTTCTTCTCTTGCTTTGTATGCTGAGTGAAGTGTGGCGAATTGAACTGCTGCACATCTGTGGAAAGTTCTATGTTGAAACCAGTCAGTCTTGATGGGTTCACTGCCAGACTCCTTTGTTGCTTATCTTTTCTGGTTGGCCATATATTCAGTATGGAACGAAGAGAGTAACTGTTGATAAAAGTTTGTGACACTCCATGTCTCTAGACCACATAGACTGATTTGATATTAATTTGGAAAATCCGAAGTTTGTTATCTATGCGAAAGTGGTGATCTCGTTTAAATTTCTTCCACTTTTATTGAGTCGTGCTTGTTGTTATCGTCAGTTAGTTTATCTTCATCACGTTTTTCTTCTCTATGTTCACTTTTTGCCCCGTCTTTGCTTCTTCTTCTTCCAACTTGTTCGTTTTCGCCTGTTGGTCTTTCAGTTTGTATGACATTAAACACAAATTGTCCACGAAGTTCACATTTCCCACAGTCTTTTCGTCTTCTCGCTCCCCATGGTCTGCCACCGCATAGCCCCCAGTCCACCACACTTGGGAATCTTATTGGCCATAGTAAGCAGTCTTACTCTTTCATTTCAAAACTTTACTGACCTCTTCGTGGTTAACCACTTGGCATGCGGAATCATCATACAGAGGTGGAATGAGGTTGAAAATAGCTTGGAGCATTCCATAATGTTGAGCCAAGTCAGTTCTTCTATACGGATCAGAAACTTGACGGGTCACAAAGAATATTTCCAACAGCCTGTTGCAGATCTTTATCATCAACTGTCTTTGCTGGCTCTATACCCAAGATCAGATGGCCGGAAAGAATCACCAACAAGAAACTATGGGAAGAAACAAACGAAACAAGAACCAGTCGCTCTACAAATATGCAGGAGAAAGTGGAGATGGATTGGACACTCTCTAAGGAGGCCGCTGGGTGACGTCGCGCGTCAGGCCATAGCTTGAGTGGAACCCGAAAGGGAAGCGGCGAGTGGGGCGTCCAAGAGTGACAAGGAGGAAATCGTGTGAAGAGGAGTTGAAACAGTATGGACTAACATGGATGCAGGTGAAAAGTACAGTAGAAGACAGAAACAAGTAGAGACGTGTAGTTGAAGCCCTATGTTACACTAAGAATCCAAGGGAACAATAATAATAATATAATGTTGAAGCAGTTCTCGAATTACTTTAATGTCAACAATGTCGAAGACAATATCAAAGTGGATTAATTTTTGAGGTAGGGACTTGACTGCGATTCTTTACTGTGTTCGATGATTAAGCGTAGTGTTGCGATTTTCTCCACACATGATTCACTTTTCCTAAATCTAGTTTGTGTTCTGCTGAAGTTTTGTATCCGGAGCACCTTTTAGTTGCCACAAGATGATACGATTTGGTGTGGACAAAGGCTCGGTTCCATAGTAGCTTGTGCAAAGGTCTAATTCTGCCTTCTTTGTTAGTTCGATAAGGTAGTCTTTCTTTCAATCAATAGGCGTCTTTCCTTCCTAACAAACTTTCTGTAATAGTAGCGGATAACAAACTAGGCGAGATCTAGGTGTGTGTGTGTGAGTGTGTGTTGACTGGGAATCGACTCCAAACCTCTATTGTATCTGGCAAGTATTCTACGATTGTACCATCGATACTCTTGACATTAGTGTTTGAAAAATTTTGATTCTTCTTTCTTATCAACTGAGATCCCCTTTTTGTTTTCTATGACGTAAGATCACCTCCCTAAGCGACTGGCTCAAACCAACTGCCGAACACTTCATGAATTGACGCCAGCTTTTGGTTTGACCACGCCTTATTATATTATTATTCCCTTGGGTTCCTAGTAGAACATAGGGCTTCAACTGCACGCCTCCACTTGCTTATGTCTTCTGCTGTACTTTTCACCTTGCATCCATGTTAGTCCATACTGTTTCAACTCCTCTACACATGGTCTTCTCCACGCCACCCTTGGACGTCCCACTCGAGCTATGGCCTGACACACGATGTCACACAGTGGCCTCCTCAGCGAGTGTCCAATCCATCTCCACTTTCTCCTGCATATTTGTTGAGCGATTGGTTCTTGTTTTGTTTGTTCCGATAGTTTCTTGTTGGTGATTCTTTCTGGCGGCCATCTGATCTTCAGTATAGAGCGAAGAGAGCTGTTGATAAAGGTGTGCAACAGGCTGTTGGAAATATTCTTTGTGACCCGCCAAGTTTCTGATCCGTATAGAAGAACTGACTGACTTGACGTTTGTATTGAAAATCCGAATCGCTTTGTTGTTGAGTGTTGCTGAGTGACGAAGATTTCCAGATTCGTTTCAGGTGACCACGCCTTACTCTCATCTAACTTAATCTCCTATGTCAGTCAGTATTGCTCGATGCGGAAGACGAACGTCCTGTATTTCTCAGTTGATGTATCTTCACAACCTCACCTATCGACTTTTCCTCCCTACCTAACACTCTACGTGTAATGGCAACATTACTGACTATATCATACCGCTTAATACAAAGTAATACAAGATGTATACAAAAATACTAAAGTGCTTGGTGTCTTTCTAAGTGAAAGGCAAGGTGGATTGGTTAAACTGACACTACACTTACGACTTCAGTAATCTTTACTGGTTCTCAAATATTGAGTTGTGGGCATTTGAATCAATTTCAGTATAGATTTCAACATGAACAACTGAAACCATGGAGTGCTGTTTCATCCTAGTTTGAGATTCTGTAGCATAGCTCATCTAACCCCCCCCCATGGATGTAGACCTCAGAACTTTCATGTTATCAGGCGATTCCGTTAACTAGTCATTCAGTCCCCCGGATTGTGATCCCATAAGCCTTATACGCTAACTCTTCCATTTCCTCGGTCGGTCGGTCGGTTTTCGACATAGAACTTTGCACATATGTGCGGCACTTCAAGTCGCCACACTCTCTCTTTGTAGCACACAAACCAAGAGAAGAAAGTAGAAGAAATGCATAATATAGACAGTAAACGGAGGTGTGAGACAAAGGAATAGTAATAACGAAGAACAAAACAGTTTCATTGGAAATCATGAGTCATAAGGAGTGGATGCATCTGCGCCATTTTATAATGATGAGTTTGAGCCATGTCACCAATTGTTTCCTACCATTGGTTTTTACCGTCCCGAGGAGCCCAACCAGGAAGTCAGGAAGTCTACACCTTCCTACGTGGCCGGCTTAGACTAACTGTTGTAGATTTCGTTGACTGGTGCCATGTTTTCGCTTGACCGCCGGCAGCTCTTTTCCAGCCTGACCCTATATCAGCTAACATTGCCCGTCGAGGAAGGCGATGACTAATACGGAGCCACTGCCCCAACCTCACATCCGACTTGATGACCTGTTGCTCTTTGGTTTTCGGTAGTTCTCTACAATTGATGTTGGTTTTTTGATGAACCCCCACGTTGTAGTTGAAATTGTCTAACAGACGTTTACTGACATATTAAATAGGTCAGCTATAGTTATCTTTATTATTATTATTTTATTTATTAGAACAAAAAGTTACTGCCCTATGGCCCCACCAAGAGATGCACCAAAAAACCTCAAAGTTTATGTGAGGGTTGGGACACACTACCCGGGCGTCCAGACCAGGTGGTTGTTTCAAGGGGTCTTTGACTTCACGTCTATTTCCATGGTTTCCAGTGTCCAGAGCAATTTCCTACACGCCATCCAATCCTTTTTGATTCTGAAGCCTATGTACGCCCCCCTCCCCCAGATAGACCTGAAGATCCGTCAACCCGATTATAATCGCCAGATGTTTGTATTCCACCCCCCCCCCCGCAACACGCGTAAAGGCATTGCATAAAAAGGACTTACCTAGAAGAAGCTGTGAACCTATGGAGCGACGGAAGTTTGCCCGCTCTTGGCCGTACCAGTTCGTTTATGGAGGCTATAGCTAGAGTTAAGTCTGAATAAGACTCAGAATTTTCGCTTCATTTGTTGCAAAATGATAAAATAATAATAAGGTTGTAGTTGGTCTTTCTTATAGCATGTTTACTATATTACACAACGGTTTCATTTATATGCTAATCGCGAAGTTATATATGTATATGTCAGCTTTGACAAGCAGCATGATTTTATCTTATTGTCTAATGACACATGTGCTGTAGACTTGTAGCCTCGATTATT